CTCTCTCTCTCTCTCTCTCTCTCTCTCTCTCTCTCTCTCTCTCTCTCTCTCTCTCTCTCTCTCTCTCTCTCTCTCTCTCTCTCTTTTGCTCATGCACGTGCGCTGGGGGGAGGTTGCAAGGGAGCAGGAGGAGGACGGGAGGATGACAAACAGGAAGAGAGCGAAATATGCCCGTGTATCTCCCTATGTTCCTGCAGGAGATTCACTCCACTTTGCACGGGAGGAGGAGCGGGAGGAGGGAAAGGAGGGGGGCAGGTGGAACAAGGAATGGGAAGACAAAATGTTATGGCCGTGTATCTCCCCATGTTTCAACGCAAGCTTCATTCCATTTTGCATAGGAAGAGCTGGAGGAGGAGGAGCGGGATGATGAGCGGGAGGAGAGGAAGGAGGGGAATGGGAAGGATGACGAACAGGAAGACAAATAAATATGGCTGTGTATCTCCCCATGTTCCAATACATGATTCATTCCATTTTCCATGGGAGGAGGAGCGGGAGGAGGAGAGGCGAGATGACGAGCGGGAGGAGGGGAAGGAGGGGGACGGGGAGGATGCCGAACACAAGGAGAACAAGTGGCACGAGGAGTGCAAGGAGGAAGACGATGAGTGGCAGGAGGTGGACGACGAACAGGAGGAAGAGTGTCAGTAGGAGAAGCACAATGAGGAGAGGTGGGATGATGAGGGCAGGAAGAGGGGAAGGAGGAGAAGGGGGGGGAAGAGGGGAAGGAGGAGAAAGGGGAGGACGAGGGGGAAGACGACAGGTGGGACGAGTAAGAGCAGGAGCAAGATAAGTACCAGGAGGAATAGGAGGAGGAGGGGCAGAGTAGGAGGTTTACAGGGAGGAGGAGGGGCAGACGTCGGCCGGTTTTCGGGGCAGGAAGAGGTGTGCCGAGGACAAGGCATGGTTGTTTTCTTTGCCATGGCCTCGGCCACACACGATCCCCCTCTTCCTGTTTCCCGCACTCCGCCCCTCCATTTCCCTCTTCGTCTCTCCTCCATCGTCTCTCGTCCTCTCTGTTGGACCGTGGCATCGCTGTGGCGGGTCCGATTGTTACAACAAAGGGCGAAAATAGCCTACTAGAGGGGGTGATGCTCCTCTAGTAAACCACTGAGCGGCCACTCCTCCTATTGGCGGGGAGCCTCACCTGCTGGAAACGGGGTCCAGCGTCCCGTAAGCATATGAATTTTAAATCAATATGACCTGATGAGGATCACACAATGGTTTGTGACTGCAGTTCGTAATGCTTCAGCCTATTAAAGGGCACCAGATCCATCCCTTGCTTTGTTAGTATAACACAGTCAGAATTAAGAAGACGCAGATAATTGAGAGAATAAAAACATATGTCAACCCTTCCCCATACCACCCTACTCCAAACCATACCAACTCTGAGGCACCAAACTCATAGGCGAGGGTGGGAAGGGATCATGGAAATCTGTCAATGGCCGAATTGGAACGGAGGGATCCAGATTGGTCCAATCACGAACAAAACAGGCGATAGTCCCTTTGGATGTCCTCATGATCCTCTCTCAGAGCCCCATTCCACTGTACTTTCCAAATCCTCCCCACTTGGCACCCCCCTAGCCAGCCGCCACTGAGTTGTTGTATGATTTGTTGTATTTCCATGCGTGATGAGAGAAATTTGACTCGTTCTTTGACCTTCTCCCAATTCTGAAGTAATATCTACTTCTGTTTGCTGTTATTCTGTGAATTCTGGGCCATCTAGTCTGTGTTACATACTTCAATGAGTATGGGCAGAACCAAAGATCAACCAATGTAGGATGAGCATATATGCAGCGGAAGTCTGATAAAACGGACTGACTCACATAGACTGACTCACATAGACTTACTCACATAGACTGACTCAAGAATCACTCCACACACATACAATCGTGAGATGGTGGGGTCTGGGCCAAGCATGGAGGATGCCCAGATCCCGTACACACATACACAGATGAAAGGTGGGAGGAGAGACGAAGGAGGTGGGGGAGGTAGACAGCACCGGTAGGTCACCGAAATAGAATCCGATAGGTCACCGATATGGTAGTCCAAAATGTCGTCCAACAAGATCAAAATGTCGAGGACAATCAGTAACCAATGTCGGAGATACAGAGTCCAAATGTAACCGGTGTCCAACAATCTCCAAGTCTCCAATCCGGTAAGTACCACAGTCTCATACCACCGAAGTCCAACACTGATCTCTGTCCACTAGTATAAGTCTCCAATCTGAAGAAGAAGAAGAAGAGGAAGAAGAAGAGGAAGAAGAAGAGGAAGATGGAGTCTGAAGAGAAGAAGAAGAAGAAGAAGAAGAAGAAGAAGAAGAAGGAGCCGAGGAGGAGAGAGAGAGAGAGAGGGGACTGGCGAGGGGAGGGAGGAGAGAGGCCTCCAACTCCCGATACCTCAGGCAGCGATGGCCGCCGGTACACTCAGTCGCCGCTGCTGCTGCTCGCTCGCTGCTGCTGCGCTAATGTTGCGCTGCTGCTCCTGCGCTAAACTTAGCGCCAGCGCTGTATCGCGCTGTACCATACCGTACCGGTAGAATGCCGGTAGGTCGATAGCCTCACTGAGGCTGGACCGGTACTTTTGTACCGGTGGGGCAGAGGCCGGCCTCAATGCTGCGAGGCCTGGCCGTGCCCTGARCCRTCMAGATGGACGGTTCAGCCCCAACCGGCGGGCGGCAGCCTCAAGAGCGCCGYYAGGCCCAAACGGTAATGTCGTTTGGGCCTGCCCGTYRGGTCTGGTCCAAGGTAAGGCCTTTACGGCCTGTAGTACCTCCAAGGTCGGGCCTTTAGGCCCTATATGTCCCTCTAACCCTAAGTCGGGTCCGGTAGGACCCATGTGGCGTCGAAGATGTAACAGTCTGGCTCCTTCCATCTCATGGGCGCGTCTTCCACTCCATAGAGCCCGCGTGATTGCTCTCCTGCCAATTTTAAATAGATTCTGTGTAAAGGGATCAAGTTGTGCAGAGTACCAAGTTTCACACAACGGTCTTCTCCACTCCTAAGGTCAGGGTTGTAAAGTCCCCAGCTGAGAGCAGATCCTATCCCACCATCTCCACAACCAAACAGCACCTGGGCATTGAAGGAAGATATGCTCAATAGTCATTGAATGTTGCCAGAGGGGAACGCAGTGGAGCAGAACCTTGCACCAGGGTAGGGCAATTCCTTTCTGTTCCAGAGATGTCCTGTCAGTGATCCAATTATCAGTTGGCGAACAGCGGTGATCTATTTGCCATTGTAAGGAAGGTATCTCGGCAGGTTTCGACTTACTTGTACTAAACCATTTGATAGGTTTGAGAACTTTGCCTACATTTAGATGATGCATCCATACTTCCTCCACCTTATCCTTCAGATTTATTTTGGTCCTCAGTATACGATACGTTGACTTGACTGATAATTGGTGCAGTGATCTTGTACACAACCTCCCTCTTCCTATCCGAGTTGTCCACTTCCAGTTGGGTGCATCTAAGGGTAGCTTGTCTATTGATGTAGTGGGCATGAAAGCCATCTGCGAGGATCTGGGTCCTCGGCAGGCCTAAGGGGCCTCTTGCTGCAGATGTGCCCGCCCTAAGTGAAGGCGGGCCTAACAAATCACGAGAGGCCGTAAGCTGTCAATACCGTATTTGGGGTCCAGGCAGTTTCGTCGCGCCAGTTGGTTGAGGGAAACACAGGCCAGGCAGCGAGACAATTCCACGGCCTTCCAGGCCTTTCCAAAATAATGCAGGCCCTGGACGAGAATCGCAGGCTCATACACAGACAGTTGGGAGGCCCAACCAAATGAGGCCCAGTAGCTGCAACAGAGGCACAGCATCCTGGGGCCTACCGGAAGCTTCTGGGCCCAGACCCAGGCCAGCCAGGCTGCAAAGGCAGGCAGGCTCTTTCCATATAGGAAAGAGCTCGCTGCCTGAGCCTCATTCAGCACTTGCATGCTGGCGGCAGCGCTGCTAGAGCAGACACTCGTGGGCTGCTGCTGGCGCTGAGAGGCAAGGTGCTAGCGCGTGCGGTCGTGCAGGGAGCAGGGCGCTGCTGAGGGCAGGGCCATAGCCCAGCCTCCATAGCTGGATGGGCTTGGACTACAGTGAGGCGCAGGGTTGGTCTTCGGGTGTACAGAGGGAAGACGTGGGTGTAAGAAGAGGGAGAGAGAAAGAAGGATGATGATGATGATGATGATGTGAGGGCACATACCTGGTATTGGCGATAGTTTGCATTGGGCGACATCTTCAAGTACTTTGTGAGCTGCTGACGTCAACAGTTGCATTGTCAATTAGTAGGCAGATTGTAGCTGTGTAGGAAGTAGGCTGGGCGCCGAGCGCCAAGTAGGGAGATAGGGCCTGGACACTCGTGTTGGTGGTGGCGAGAGCTAGCTCTCATTGACATTGGTTTTCAGTGTTACAAATCTTCATTGGTGTTATATTGGTGCATTTCTGCTTCCCGGACACTGTGATACTATCTGGCCTTCAATGTGATTGTGTATTCTGGTTATTGTCATCTCGCTATGGCTCATTTTCCTTGCACATCCATTGATCCTTATTTTGCAATACCCTTATCCTAAACATTTGCTGTGAGGGGACCCAACGAAATTCCTCTGGGTTACATTTCTCCAATTTGTGTTCATGATTTAGTGCATACACGGAGAGGAGAACTTCACCATCTGAATGAAGTTCTGCTACATTACCCATCAGGTTAGGTTGATCCCTGATGGCCACCCAATCACTAATCTGCATGGAAGGACCATTCCTCGAGATTTCATTCCATTGTAAGGGGATTATTTCAATCAGAGAATCAAGTGCAGAAGCTGAGTGGTGGTAATATCTCAAACTGTTTTGAATATCCTCAAGGGAGCACCAATCATTCGATGTTGGACACCATACAAACTGAATAAGATGACTTCACTGCCATGTATCAATGTACTCGTAATGTTACTTTGTTTTTTTTTCTGGAAGTCATGAACTGAATGCCCTATATCACATGTACTCATACTGTCGCTTTGTCTGTCTCACCAATCAGGCGCGTTCGTCCGACACTCTCAGCCTCACATCCCAAGTGCCCAAGAATGGAACCGGAAACAGAAGGGTATGTGCCACTCCATCATTATATGCGATCCGTATCCGTTTTTTTCTGTGCATATTTGACTCTTTCTCTCTCTAAGCCATCTTCTCTCTCTCTCTCTCTCTCTCTCTCTCTCTCTCTCTCTCTCTCTCTCTCTCTCTCTCTCTC